TCCAAAGTGATTTTAGACCCATGGTTTCTTCGACAAATTTGCTTGGAATTACACATAGAATCTTCCTATATGCTATACGCGCATAGATATTAAAAAAAAAAATTACCCGCCCTAATGTACATACATATATACCTTGGCGCTTCATAATACGCGTTTTAAAATATTTACATAAAGTTGTCCATGAAATAATAAAAGTGTGATATTTTGGCCAGTTTTAACTATGTATTTGTCTTTTGTTTATTTAATGTTTATAATTTTTTTATAAAAGTCTAGCTTTTCAAACTTTGTACAAAAATTATAAAAATTCCCACTAAATTGCAGTATAACAAAGTGCAAATTTCAAGCTGCTAAAAAATCCAGTTGATTTTTGGCATTTTTTTTTTTTTTTTTTGTTGCTGACAAATGAAAGAAAATCGTCGAACATACATATGTACTTTGTGTGGAAAAAATGCAAAATATCCTCGACCAAAAAAAAAATGCTCAAAAATCAACGGAATGAAAGGCCGGTTGTGGCCTCAGTGTGGTGGGATTGGAAAGGTTTGGTGTTTGAGCTTCTACCAAGATCAATCAATTCGTATGACTTTTTACACCACCCAAATATTGAAAAACATAAATTAGCTGCTTAAGACATTTGTTGCTTCTCACAAATACTTTTTTCGTAATGATTTTAACAAATTGTTTCACTTCTTTTTTGACCATGTAAATGTTATTAACCCCCCTGTGCTTGCTTGTAAACTAATTCTATTTTAAAAAAATTGTAATAATAATCTTAAAATACTCATTTGAGAAAATTTGCTTATTTCCAAGGCTATGCATTCGAGTGAGGTCGAAGTCAACAGCATAGGCATAGGCGATGGGCGATAGTGACAGCAGTAGGCGTTAAAAGGCAAGTGATTGAACTTCAATAAGTAATTATTAACCTTCTCATTGGCAGCTTGGACAAAAAATAGCTTATGTAAAGGGCACACGGCAAATTGTTCAATGACAAATTTGTTTTGATTTATGTATTTAGAAATGTTTTGAAAAGTGCTAAAAACAAATGCGTAGTTTACATACAAAAAATAAATACAAAATTGTTTTTTCGTGTGATACGTAAAACATATTTTTCTGACAAAAAGTATATTTTCTAATCAGAAATTAGTTGGAAGTGAATTTAGCTAATTTTTTTTTTATTTTTTTATTTTCATTGTAGCAAAGTTGAAATTTAGTAATGAACACTTCCAAAACAATGCTTATTTTCGCAACTCAAATAACAATTATTATCTGCTACAACATCAGGAAATGGAAAAATAATCAACAAAATTCTATTCGATCAAAGGCACGTAACGTTTAGAAGGAAAAAATGGAAATAAACAAACAAAGCAGCGATTGAAATCGAAAAACAGTCAGTGGCTATAGCAACAGCAGCAATAACCCTCGATGTCAAAGTTCAAAAGTGTGAAAATCACAAGGCGTGACACAATGCTGCTGTTGCAGCAACGAGTAGATAAGATTGTGAAGTCTGTTGGTTGCCAGGCCAGCAAGTTAATGAACTTTTTTCCCCATCCACATCGTGTAAGGCAACAGATGCCGCAAAGAAGAAGAGCACCAATTCCAGTGCTGGATAAAAAAAAGCCGGAAAACATACATACCATATACATACATATGTATGTACATAGATGCATATTTATATAAAATAAATTACACTGCTGTTGGGGAAAAAAGCGAATAATTGAAAAAAATAAATAAAAAATAAATGCACTGAAATGCAATGCAAACAGCACTCGTTCACAGTTGTTTGCTCGTTGGTTCGTTGCTTCATTATATGCAATTTATCTAACGGAGGTTGTGGAAAAGCGCACAGCACAGCAGCGAAATAGCACAGCATCAGCAATGGTGGTAACAGCAATCATACAAACAAACAAACAAAAAGAGAGCACTGCACTCCACAGAGCTGGTGCCGGCCACAACTAATGGCTGTGGTGCTGATTGAGCCGTTAATGGCTACTATCTGGAGCGCTTGCATATGCACTTAAGCATTTAAAGAATACATACATATATGCGCCGTAATTTATTTTCCATTGCATGCGTATATTAGAGTATGAATGCATGTAAATTTTCCTAAAAGAAAGATGGAATTATGTATGCAACCAAAGCAATGTGTAATTGCGTGCTGCCTAACTATAACTTGCAACTATGTAAATACATATGAATTGCAGTTATAATATAAACTTTTAAGCTGCCGAAAGACGCATGTGTGAAAAAATTTGCTTGCCATTTTTATTTTACTCACTACAATTTTGATTTTAATTTGCCGATTTCTTCTACACTTGTGCGCCTGTTAACTGAATATGCACATAAATCATTTGATGTGCGCGAACAATTCAATTAGTTACACAAGAATATATAGTGGAGATTGAGCGATGGACTGCCCAACTAACAGCTGCATGACATCTACAGACAGTCTAGCATGCGCTTTAGGTAACATACATACATACATACATACATACATATGCGAAGAGTCAATCAATCGACAGTAAAATCAAGTTGGAAGATAAAAGAAAACAAAATTTCGAAGTACAGCAATAAAAATAAATGAGGTTGAATAAATAACTGGCAGCGAAAAATTAAAAATAAATCATGAAATGCAAATGAAGGCACGTAGTACTTGCGTACATACTGGCGCGTGTAAGTGCGTAAGTTAGCGAGTAGATCTCACTCGTTGTTTTTTACGCCACCGGGAAATATCGTACGTTAAAGTAGAGGAAGTTGTAGTTTGCCGCAGTTGATTGGGTTGGAAGCGAGTAGTACGCACTTTAATGAGATTTTTTTCTAAATTAATGCAATAATAGAATATAAACATAGGAAATATAAAACAACAAGTGATTGAATATCGAGCCCGAACCGGAAAAAAAGTAAGCGATATTTTTCAATGTTTTTTTTTTTTAATGTCATCAATAAGAAAATTTTGATAAAGAATTTCACTTACGTCGTTTTGGAGGTTAAGGCTCGATATATTGGCCCGTAGTTATAGTCAAAATAATTTTTGACATAATTTTCAATGTGACATCAACTAATCATAGAGTCAACTTTATTTTAGCTATGTATAACTGCGGGCTATTATATTTATTGCTAATTGATTAAACGACAAGTGACGATAAGAAATCTGTAAGAAATTGCAATAGAATGAAGACGAGTACACTGAGAAAAAAATCTACCAAAAAATGGTTAATATTACCAATTTCAAACTTGAAAATGAATTAATATGATTTTTGGTTAATATTAACAATGCCTCGGTTGATGTTTTCAACAATGATTTGATAATATTAACCAAACTTCTGCTTACATTAATGAAAGTTTTGGTTGTCGATTTTTTCGTTTGAATACGTTTATGTTCTGCACTTCACAGGTGCTTTTTCATAATCCGGAGATACAAAACAAAAATTTGTATTACCATTTTAACAAGTTGCCTCTGACGAAACCGCATCTTCTGAATGTTAGCAAATTACAGCAAGCATCTCTGCACACTGAGCTACAGGCGCTTTATAAATCAGCCTTCAAATGTTGAACTTGAATCACATTTCTTACAATTGGCTTATTAACCATGAAAAAATCAAACCATAACTTGCTTGAAAAAACCATTGTGCTTTTGACTCAGTGTAGGAAAATAGCGAAAAATATAGTATACCATGATGTTCGACTGTTTTCTCGATGAACTTTATTCAAAGTAAGCTTTAAGCTTTGAAGAAAATGCTCAGCTAACAAATCAGGTAGATCTGCATAATACATACAGTCGTCGAAAAAATTATAGCCGCACCATATATTGACAAGTTTTAATATTTTTTCATAATTCATATAAATCATTCTTTAACAAAAACCATGTAAATCCAAATTTCAAACTTTGTGCAATATTAAAAAAAAAGATCAATAAACTTTCATACAAAAAAAAACAAAATTCTCAAAGTCAACGCGATTTTTTAGCCGGTTGAAACTTGCCTAAAACTGTATAGGTTATAAAACTGCATACCCAAAAATGTTCTAAAGATTCAGATTAAAAATTTGAAATTTTGGTGAATATTTTTTGAAATTTCCTAAATTTCGTATGAAGTTTGAAACTTAGATTTATATAGTTTTGCTTAAAGCTTGGGCGGTATTTTTATAGAACAATAACAAACAAATTTAGCTCGAAAAATATTACGAATATT